GGTCGGCGAGGTTCACAGAGTGTGCTGTGATTGTTTTGGGGTCCACGGAATTCGGGGCCCAGAGGGCGAGAGTCGGCGTGGAGTTGGTATCCTGTCTGTCACCTAGTCCCGTGAGGGGGCATCTGCTCTTGTCAGGCCCCCTCCCTTGTGGCTGGGGAAACCAAGGGCTGGGAGACACGCTCGTGTCTCATCGGGCCAAGCGGGCGGCCGCTGGAGCAGTCTCACCCGGATCCGGGGGTCTCACCGAGATCCCGGGGTGTCACGCAGATCCTGGGGTCTCACCTGGATCCGCCCTCTCTTCGCAGACTCGGTGAGGTCCGAGCAGGCTGTACACGGCGCTGTGTGGTCGTGGAGCCTGACCCGCAGCGGGCAGGGGACTTGACGGGCCTTCACGACGGAGTCTGGGGGAGCTCTGCTCCCTTCCACACCGCAGAGTGCCGAGCTCACTCCCTTGGGGGGTCTGGACCAGCCCGGGATACCGACCAGTGCTGTGACCGGGGAGCTGGACGCCCCGAGAAGCACTTGACCTGGGCCTCAGCACCCCGCCAGGTTGAGGCCTGACGTGGCGGAGGCGTCCTCACGTGCTGAGGGGTGGGGGGCGTTCGGGAGGGACCGTCCAGCAAGCAGGAGCCGCTGCTTTTCTGGGCAGGTTGGAAGGTCCACGCGGGTGGCAGACGGACCCCGCCTCGTCCACAGCACTAGCGCCCGGCCTCCAGTGAGTCCCGCCCAGCACACAGTTCGGGGTCTGAAATGAAGTCAGTACGCGCTCTCTGACACCTCGTTTGTCAGAATTGGGGTGATGCGGGGAAGATGGCAAGGCCCCCCATGCGCGTCCACAAAGGGATGTCAGCGCACACAGTGTGAAATCCTGGAAAGGATGTGTGTGGCGATCGCCACGGGTCGCAGGGCCGGGGTGGGCCACAAAACCCGTCCGTGCCCGCCCTGTCTGACTCCTTAACCCCAACACGGAAGGGAAGATCCAGGCGCTTCGTTACTCTGCGTCGCGGGCACGTGGCTGTTCATTCCATTAAGCTCTCTAATTTTCTGGAGGTTTGAGGGTTTTTTTTTTCCTCGTAATACTGTTCACAGTGGGTTCCAAAAGTAACTATTTTAGTTTCGCCCCTGAGCCCCAGTGCTGGGGCTCCCCACGGCCCCTCTGGGGTTCAGTGATGTGGCAGAAGGACCCACAGAACTCAGGAAAGGTGTCACATCTGCAGTGGCACCACGTTGCAGTGCAAGGGCAGAGGCGAACGTCGGCAGAGAAGGAGGCGCACGGGGCAGAGCGCACTCCCAGGGCCATGGCACACACAGCGCTGCCCGCCAGGCAGGCTCGTCTGAGTCTTGGTGTCTAGGCTCTGGCAAGGGCCGTTCGTGTGGGCGTGGAGCCACCCAGGCTCTGGCCTCCGCAGAGGTCAGAGACACCGTGTGGCCCCGGCCCTCGTCATAAACCGCGTGGCCACCGTGAGCGATCTGGTGGAGTCCCAGGCCCCGGTACACGGCTCCCGTCAGGCAGACCGTGGCAGAGCCGGCAGCGTGTCTCCCGGGAGTGTGAGCAGGGCCAGCCCTTCTGTTCAGGGACAGACGTCCCGAGCCGGCCGAGTGAGCCCTCAGAACCTCTGCAGCGACACGGAAGTCCACTGGACTTGCAGATTTCCTGACTCACGTGACCACCTACCTGCAGCCTTCAAAAAGCCCGCGAAGACCGGGGTGGCCGGGGGGCCTGGTCCTCACTCCAGACCTAGGAAAATGGACTCCAGGGGGTCGTTGGGGGTCCAGGAAGGTGTCCGCAGACGCTTCAGAATCCGATGGGCTGCTAACCGACCTGTCCAGGGTGACCCTGCCGGACAGCAGGGGGCAGAGGCAGGACCCAGACCCGGCTACCTTGAATCTAATGCTGTGCTGAATAGACTAGCGATTCCCAAACTCATCTGCACATTCAAATCCGTCCAGAATCTTAAAATTTCCAGAGCCCAGGCCACACCCCAGACGAGTTAAGTCACGAAATCGGGGGTGAGACGCAGGCTTCATCAGACACAGTGTTTGAGGCTCCCTGGCCTCAGCACGTCCCGAAAACCTGCTCCGTGCGGTCCACGGGCCGGCTGTGGGCATCAGAAGCGCATCGTCTCGGACCTCGGCCAGGCCTGCCGAGTCAGCCTCTACCTCTCAGGTGAGTCCCCAGGTGATGCCGGCGCACACTAAAGTTATGTAAAACGTGCCATTCTGCTTTTAGATGGGAGAAAACAGAATCTAGTACATTTTCATTATTTATTGACAAGGGCAGTAGCTGTGGCTTTGAGTTGGCAGCCTTTATTTTCCATTAAGTCAACATTATGTAAGTGCGATGCTGTTTTCCTGGTTTCGTGATGGCCGTATTTCTGAGTGATTATTATGAAGTCCCTCTCCGTTGCCCGGACTTGACTCGAAAAGGCTGTAGAGAAACCGCCCTAAATCTCTTTTCATCCGTTTCTCTCGAGCTCTAAATGGTCTCAAATCTTTAACAAAATTAAACTTTCCCTCATTGTATCAGCAGACTTTCTGAGAACTTACATGCTGTGCGATGTTGGGGTTCGAGACAGGAAATAAAAAAGCTGGCGGGGTTCCTGTTTGCAGGCGGCTTACAGTTTGTCGCGGAAAGCCCTCGCGTGCGCCCACATGGTTATAGACCGGGAGGGAATGTGAGTCATGGAACGAGGGTGCTCAGGTCAAGTGCCCTGTGACTCACATGCAGCAGGTCACTTCCCGCTCCCAGGATTAGGGAAGCCGTCCTCGGGAGGGCCGGAGGGTTCGCACATTCAGGTGGAGGGGGGCTGTTTCCACAAGAGAGAGAGAACGCGATGTGGCTTCAGTCATCAGGTGAACGCTGGTGTGTCTTAGGACCTGTGGTCGTAAAGGACAGAAACTCAGCCCAACCTGGTTAGGGTGGGAAGGAGGATTTGGGGCTCGTAGATTCTGTAGGTTGAACAGGCGAGCTATGGAGAAGCCTCTGGAACATCAGGAAACACAGGCTCCCAAGCCACCCAGGGGCTTTCCGATTTTTCTTCATGTGCGTCTCATCCTCTCGCGTTAAACTGGCTTCCTTGACACGATAGAAACGTGGCTGCAGAAATTCCCGTCATCTGTTTGCATCTGGCATCTTCTGGTACCCAAGAGTGAATCCCCAGAGATCTGTATCTGCTTCAGAATACCATGGGAGCGGGGGACGGGGACTAAGGTAGAGTTGAAATAAAATCGGCCTTGAATCGATCATCGCGGAAGCATGAGGGTTCCTTACGTCAGTCTGTCGACTTCTATACACGTTGGAAATTTTCTTTGAATCGAAAAGCAGTCCTCGAGAATGAATCCTGCTAGCCTGTCTGCATCCTGTCTCCGATCGAGCAGCCCTGCCTGGGGGCTGGTGACGGACGAACTTGGCGGCTCTACTGAGCCACAAGTGAGGACCGCATGGCTGGGATGGCCGGAGAGGAAGGGAGGACATGTTCCCAGAGGAAGAAGGGGGTCCTGTTTCCAGGCGTAAGACAGGGGTCCTGGTGGAGAGGCTCCACTCCGTGCCGACTCCCGGCTTTTCACCGACCCCTCCCTCTCTCCCGGGCTCCAGGCCATGTTTCTGCGGGTCGTCGCTGGACGTGGCAGGTGTAGCTCTGAGTTGGCACGTTCCAAATCAGACTTGATCGTCTTATTCCTGCGGTGGATCCCTCCTCCACCGAGACGTTCCAAACGGAAATTCCCGAGCCACGTTCAGCCGGTCCTGCTTCTGCCTCTGAATTGTCTATTCCTCCCCGCCCGTCCTCCCCCTTCCTAGCTCCTCTGCCAGCCCCGTCGCCACCGTCTGCACAGCGCGTCACGCGTCCCCCAGCACCGGCGGAATCGTCCCCGTCCGTGCCTCCTGTCCCGTGGCGTTCCCAGCATTGTGGCCGCTCATAGGCGGGGGCTCAGGGGCGTGTAAAGCCCCTGCCCTGTACCCATCGGGCTGTGCGCACCACACCACGCATTCCTCGGTGGCTCTGCGTGTGCCAGCGCCGCCGTGCGGACACCTGGGCCGCGTGTTCAAGCCCCTCTGGCTCGCGCAGAACGGGCTCTCGATTCAGCGGGGCCCAGAACTCCGGTCGAGCCACCTGCTGGAGACTCGGCTGTGACGTGGTCGGCTCCCCTGGGAGGGGACGCCCCCCGACAGGGCCCGCGGCGTTCCTACAGAGCGGTCCCCCTGTCCCTCCTTAGGCGTCTGACCCTTGACTCCTGCTCTCTGCAGCTCCTGCCCAGCCACCCGCATTCCACTCTCTGGAGCCTCCGGAAGGGTCATCGGACTTGTGAGATCAGCCCTCGTGCTCTTCAGACTCCAAAGCAAACATTCTTTCTGGAGTTGCTCAGCGGGCAGGCGTCGAGTGCCGAAGCCTCACGGCACGCTTCAGCCTGTCTGCAGCTCCCCGGGCGGTGGCTCTGGGTTGCATACAATATTCGGGCGTGGTTGGATTGGAGACGGGACATCGGCAAGGAATGAGGAAGGAGAATCGTGAGTGGATTGAGGGCACACTTGACCCTGCACAAGACGATCTGGTTTTTCAGCAGCCCGCGAGGAAAAGCCAAGGAGACGGGGAGCCGTGTTTGTGCAGAGCTGGGGACCGGCGAGGTTAAGAGCCGCGAAGGATCACAGAGAACCTCTCCCGACATCCCCCATCCAGATATCTTGGTCCTACGAGCATCTCAGTCCTCTCGTTCCTTGAAGACTTTGGCATCTAAAAGGAAGTGGTTCAGACTTTCCTCTTTACGTTCTCAGAATTTCTTGATCTATTTTTTTAAAAAAATCTCCTTATCTGGTGTGGCAAAGGGCAAGATAGTTCTCATACTATTTTCCTAATAGGTGGCTTAAAAGATAAGTGATTTCTTTAGCACAGATTACAAGTAAAGAACACGATGGACTTCATCTCGTTAGACTTTCAAAAAGTATTTGAAATATTATTTTCAAAACAAAACGGAGTTTCTGAGTCACCCGGTATTTTTTACAGATTCTTCTGCAAACGTGAGAATCGAGATCCGAGGCCAGATACCGCACAGCACGAGGGAAGGGGCCAGGCTTCCGAGCTGCTTCTCAGCCCTCGCAGGACCATCCGTGTTTAGAGCACGTGACATTTCCACAGGGCTCTTCCATCCACGGTACGTGGGCTGCCTTAATCTACGTCTTTCGACCTGCATGCGATGCTGGCCCTTCCTGCCAGGGAAACGAGGCGTGGGCCGGTGTCCAGCGGCAGTCCCGGTCACTGGCGCAGCGCAGTGGTGCTTACGTGTTTACACCAAGATGAGGGCCGGCTGGACAAGCTGGGGTGGGCCAGTGCGTCGCAGAGACACTGCATCTGCCCAGCCGGGCCAGTGGAGCCTGTGCAGCCTGCCGTGTGGGCACCCGCCGTCTGCCCGCCAGGAGCTGTCACCGGGCTTCCGCCGCCTTTCGTTCTGAGCTTGCTCCGGCTTCCGCACACCTCCTCCCCTGCGTCGGGCCGTCCCCTCGTCTGTCCTGGTATTTCTCGCTCTCGGCTGCGTGGCGGAGCGTGGGGCAGCGGGGAGGGTCGTCTGAATCCGAGGCCCCTGATCCCGAAACGCACCTGTTCTCCGCTGATCACCCACGGCATGAGCCTGGACCGTACTGCAGAGGTTCTGACAAAGTCTGCGTGTGTGTGAATGGATGATGTCACCCTTCTGATTGGCAGCAGCCCCGCAGAAGTACCCATCAAATCACAGCAGACACCTGTCACAGCCAGTGTGAAATGCATCGTCGTGTACGCACACGCACACGCACACGCACACACACGATTTTCTTTGCCCTGTCAGCCCCAGGCCCATGGTGGACGCCATATGGAGACGAAATCCCTCTATCTGACTCACCAAGAACACGGCTACCACTCCCAACCCCCACAGTGTCTTTGCAAACCATAAATCTTGTCCCTACGTTTTGTGGGTCTGGAAGTTATTTGAAAATGGGGCTGGATTTGTTAGAAGTTTTTTTTTTTGCACTGAATGTGAAACCCGTGTGAGTGTTAAATTGTGTGTTTTCTCTCCTTTTGATTTCATGGTGAATGTGAGGCTTGGGGTTTCCTTCATTAGTCAGATGAGTAGTTTAAAGAAGATGAACCTGTCCACTACGCGTCCCCTCCCGGGTCTCCAGTGCTTTCTCAGTGCATCCTTCCCCTGCCTGCTAGAATCCTCTACCTTATGAAAGAAACACCCTTCTCGAAGACGAGATAGAGTCATGTGTCTCCCCTACCATTCCCCATCAGATTTCTCTCAGCATTCTGCATGCAGGTGGTGAGCTGAACAGTGCCCTGCTGATTGGACATACCAAGTTTGTCACCTGTGAAGCACGGACACGCAGCTCGGTCTGTCCGGTCTTATGCTGGTGTGACTGTTTCTGACGCGTGTGTTTAATAATTTGTTACTGTAAACGCCCTGCAGCTGAAGCGTTCACGTGCACTGTTCCCATGTGCAACTCTCCAAACTCCTAAAAGAAAAAAAGATCTTAAAATTGATGCTATGACAGTGTTCGTTATCACCTGGAAGTTAGATTTGCAAGCTCAGCACATGAGAGAGTCTTCCTTCCCGTTTTCTACTTTAAAGCAGTTCCTTATTTAACCTAGTTGAACTATTACATCTTTGCACGTTTTTTTTTTAAAAAGCCATTGGAAAGGATCAAAACCTGAATTCCAGTCGATCGCCGAGAATGTTTTGCGTTCCTCTCACGGGCTAGGACATGTTTGGTACTGATTAGACAGGGACAAACAAGGCGGACACGTTCCCTATTTTCAAGTCACTTAACAAATCCAAAGTGTGTGACCAGCTTCAGGGACTGTGGGCCGCCTGCTCAGCACCCGTGAAGAGGTGACGGGGCGCAGGCGTGAGCACGTCACCGTCCACGCAGGGGACGGAGCTGCGAAAGCGTCTGGGTGGCCGGTGCTTTCTTTCTTCCCGTCCTTCCTTATCTCTGCGGGGCCGTCTCAGCCCTTCGTGAAGCTCTGCGCTTTCCCCCGCTGACCTCATTTACAGCACTTCTGATAAAAGAGCTGGAAGAGGTTCTGGGAAAAGATATTTTGGCTCCAAAAGCTCTTAGTTGAATGGCAGGCCCCTTACTCCGGTGAACACCGGCACAGATCCCCTCGATTCGCCCAAAGTGCCATTTATACTACTTTCCAAATTATAAGCTTTTATTTTCTTCATAGTTCAGATGTGTTAGTTTTATAGATCTCTCCTCAAAACTCTATCCCACCTCTGGTCATATTTTAATATTTTTCTGTGGGGCAACAAGCAGGATGCAGGCATAACCCTTCCACGGCCATCGACAAAATAGTCTTTGTCCTTGGGCAAGCGGCTTAGAGCCACGGTAAGGTCTTTGCTTTGGATGCCTGCACCCAATTCCTGGCCATCGCGTTAGGCTACAGGTAACAAAATCCCCAGCTGCAATGACATAAAGGGGCTTATTTTTCCCACACAACAAGAAGCCTGGACAGAGTCTTCAGCAGCTCCACCAAGGGACTAGACTCTTCTGTCTCCACCATCTTCCACGAGGAAACCCGCCCTCCCAGATGCGAGACGGCCGCACCCCTAAGAACGGTGCATCCCGCGTGGGGACGAAGGGAAGCGTCGCAGAGGAGTCGGGCCTCGTTTCTCTTTCCAGAAGCTCCCCCAAGTTCTCCACTTAGAGACCGTTGGCCAGAACCGTGTCACCTGGCCATGCTCACAGCAGGGGGCCTGGGCAACGGCACGTCTTAACTGGGGGCAGTGCCACCCAGAACAGAGCCGGAGTTGCATCAGCGAGAAAGATGATGGGAGAATGTCACACTCCTTAGCCGGAGGACACGCGCAGACCCCTGACGCAGTGTGTCCCCGGCACTTCCTTCGGACGGCACGTCTGCGAGGCCTGGACTCCAGCAATCCCGCCCCGACCAGCAGGGAAAGGCTTGGTCTCGATGCACTCACCAGATCGCGCCTCCATATTGTCCCCATTTGACTGATACTTACTGAGCATCATCTTCTGTGCCAGGCATGGAGTAAACGGTGGTGACCAAAACAGGCAAGACCCTTGCCGTCTCAGAGCCTGCCGTCCCAGATTTAAAACCAGAAAAGAAAACGTGAAAGTCGGAATGTCTCTTATTAGACTTCTCTTTTACCTTCCAGCTGAACACCCAGATTGTTTTTCAGCATGAGTGAGTGTCCTTGTCTTGTGGTTAATAAAACACAGATGGCTCTCTACCTGGCTGACACAGTGTTACCTTTGCAAATCGAGGTGGTCTCAGGCAGCTGGACGTCAGGCTGACTATGTGGAAGACCAAGTTCCACGTGTAAAGGGTTGATATGAAATAACAGACCGATGCATGTCGCTGCTTGGGACTCGTGTAGTCATCGGTCCTGCCTGGCTTAGCGGGGTGCAGTTATTCCAAGCTGTAGGGAGCTTTTTGGGGGCAGGAGGGCCCGTGTCTCAACACCCTTTGCACGCCCCACATCAGCTCGGTGACTGACTCACGACGAATGCCTGGTAAGTATGTTTGCTGGCCCAAAGTCAGAGTTAGCCCTACCAGACTGTGAGGAGCCACACGGAATTCTCAAAGGTCAAAGTGAACAGTCGGTGATCCCTGACCTTTCGTATTTTATAGGGCACATTTATTCTTTCCGTGCTGCGTGTTCAAGTTTCCCAACCAATACGCCGGGCCCGCTGACCTATTACTCGCGGTCGTGTTAGAGGCGAGAGCTGAGATGCTGACCCCTGAGCCCTGGGGAGGCCGGCCACCGGGGTCGCATGTCCTTCTGTATCGGTGGCCCACAATACCTGGCATCAGGAGAGAAGTGCTCTATGACACGCAGCTTTAGGGTCTCGATTTCACATCCACATGGCCCTGAGCGGTGACACCTTCCTGGGGAATGACTGCTCTTCCAGGGCACCTGTGTGTAGCCTCAGAGGACAAAAACAAAAGGCAGGCTTTTATTTACGTATTTACTTATTGGTTTTAAACTGTGAGACCGTCCACAAATCCTTTGCGGAATAAGGCAAGGTATAAACAAACAAGCATCTGGCTTTTTATTTTCCCTAACAGTGTCAGCACTGCCAAAGGGCATCTGGGATGAAAACCCGCCTTCTCCATCAGCTGCACAGAAGACGGTTACTTGGGCCCCTGGCATGAACTGCGTGCTATTTGAGTCCCATCAAGACAGGTGAGAGAAGTAACATCTGAGACTCAGGGGCATGTTAGGCACTTCATAATCTCAGTTCCCCAAATTCTATTCTTAGTCTGAATTAGACGAAGGTGCCGCACACTTGGCTGTCACCTTCGGTCTCTACAGAAATACCATCTTATTTTTTTAAAGGCAGGTGAAGAACTGTTGTGAATCTTCTAAGTAGATCGGAAGGTGCTGGAGAGCAGGGTCTTGTGCGTCTCTAGCTCCTAACACGTGGCTGCCGTGAGCAAGAAAAACGTGAAATGTATGTCGAATGCGAGGAATTAGGGATGTACGGACGCGTAGCAAGTTACAGACCTTTTTAAAGAAGGAAGCCCAATCGTGTGAAGCCAAAATCTTTGATTTTAGGTGAAACGTCTCCAAGTGGGAATAACTTTAAAAACAGACTTAAAAAATACTTAGTCTGAAGAGGGTTTGCTAACCAGGTTTTCCTTAACCAACTTTTGGGATGGTTCCAAAACATCTAAAAATGACGTTGGTGAAGAGATGGTCTCTGCAAACTAGTTCCTGGAGGTTTTTGAGGTCAGTTCGTGCCCATGCACTTAGATGCGGGAGCTTAAGTGCCCCTTCCGTGGAAGCCACAGTGGCAAGTCAGTTCTTCTCAGGACATGGGTGAGTTTCAAGGACAGGTCCAAGGCGGCGATGCTGCCCACTTCCCTGTCTGCAGTTGCCCTTGCGGACAGGCCGGGACGGGTATCTCCTGTCCGCTCCCGAAAGGAAATGCGGCCGCCAGATCAGGTGGAAGGAGGAAGCGCCCCGGCACTGGGTTAGATCCGAAAATAGCCCTTGAAGGCCAGTGCCAGGATGCAGGCATTGTCAGAAATCTCTCATGATTAAGGCCACTTCACAATCCTGGACCGAAACAGGTGTAGAGACGCGCGGCACCGCGGGGGACGCCTAGCTGCTCGGGGGGGCGAGGGGCGCGCTGGGCCCTGCCCGGCTTGCAC